CCCGCTGGGAGAGCGCGAGCGGGCCTTCCTCGGGGAGCCGGCGGGGGCGCGCCGGGCGCACTCACCGTCGCTGTAGTCCTTGTGGTGCATGGACACGTGGTAGCGCCGCGGGTAGGTCCCGCCCTTGACCCCTTTGTCACAGAGCTGAGCTTCCCGATCTGCGTGAGGAAGGGCAGTCGCTAGCTCCGGGCCCGGGCTTGGGCCACTAGAGCCCCCGGGAGCAGCAGGCCCGGGAGGAGGCCGCCAGCTCGGGGCCCCACCAGACACCAGCGGGCTCACCCGAGTACTCCTGTCTGTTGTCGGGGAAGCTCTGGGCACGGGACATGCGCGACTTCCGGAAGGATGGGCTGGCGAAACAAGAAGAAATCTCAGCACAACCTCTGCGCAACTCCTGAGTGCCCAGCAGGGCATCCGGGTGGCTCCCTTTCCGCCTCCCCCAATAGTCTGAGAGGAACGTGGCTTTCTGAGCCTGGCCTCCTGCTTCCTCTGGCCTCCCGTCACCAGTCTGAGCCCAGCAGGGGCCCGGCGGCCGAACCCGTCCCACCAAATGCCAGCTCGGCCACATGCCTGCCCTCCTGGGCCTTTCTTCCACCTCTGAAACCGACAAAGAGCCGCAAAGCATCCTGGGCCCAAGGCAGTCACAAGGCAGCAACAGCATGGCCATTCCCAGATGGCTGCTTCCTGCCTGTTGCACAAAGGGAGCCTTTTCTCCCGACTCCTCAGCCCTGCGAGGTAGGAAACACGGTATAATTCAAGGAAGAGAAGAGCAGACCCTGGCCGCTGCACGCTGCTACACTGTCTCCAGTCTTTACAGAGACTCTAGGGTGGGGGCTCCGAGTGCCCAAGGACACAGCTAGTCAGCAACAGGCCAGACTTCAGACCCAGGTGTGTGACTCCAAACTAGGCACCCTCCTTTCAGAGGAAAGTACCACCCCATTTTAGTGATGGAGAGATGAGGAACAAAGCGGTTAAGGGACTTGTCTGAGGTTGTTCAGTGAGTATTTGCCGGAGCTAGGACTGCACCGAGGTCCGCCAGGACTTGAGTCGGGCCAGGCCTCACAGAAGAAATCCAGACCATTCCCAGCGAGAAGCAGCAAGGAGTGCAAGGACACCAGAAGTGCAGGGGCAGAGGAACAGCCCAGGAAGGAAGAGCCGGCGCACTCGGCGGCCCGCCCACATCCGCCAGTGGCCTTGCGTGCCAGGCCTCAGGCCCTCGAGGGACTGCTCCCTGGCTCCCCCACTGTGAGACCCTGCCCCTCCTGGCGGGCAGCCCTGCCCTGGCAGAGTCCTCGGTGTGTGACAGCAGCTCCTGCACTTGCCTTCTTGCCCCTGGTTGGAGAGCAAGCCCCAAACAAGGCTCCAAACTGGAAACAACAAGCAACCACCACTGTGCCCGACGACCCCCAGAGGGAAACGGAGCCACCCGTGGCTCCAGGCCACAGTCACAGGATCCCCTCCCATGAACGGTCAATCCACTGCCCGAAGAAAAAGTCCCCAGACCTGCTCCAGGGCCCGTGACCACAGCCCTCAGCCTGACGGGCACCAAGGCTTCCCAGTATGGCCGCCACTCAGTATGTGAGGACAGCTCGTCTCCCACCAAAGCACAAGAGCGGACACACTCCAAGCAGTGTGGCATGCTAGGCAGAGCGGATGGAGGTTGTGCTTCTTGACTTCGGTTTCTTAAGCCGCCAGAGACACTTGGAGGAAAAAATAAAAATAAACCAATGGATGAGAACTCAGTCTTCCCCTGAAGACATGCGCCGTCCATTGCTTCTCAGCTCAGATCACAGCAGCGAGGCCAAGAAGCCAAGAGCGGCATGTGTTACGTGAAAGTCAAGATACATAAGCACTCAGAGCAGGACAGCGAGCGCTTAATACACGAGCCACTACTATATGAGCTATCATTACATCCACTTAATTAGACAAACATAACATTCTCTCGGCGTTTGGGAAGTGGAGGTATGGGCTTTCTAGAAGCATGATGTTTCAGCCCTGGGCCTGAGGATCAGCAGCTAGCTTGAAAATACCACTGGCTTCCTCTCTTTCCTTAGCCCGTCGGTTCCAAAAATATGCACACAGAGAGCCCCCAGACCACCCACAGTCCCATACCTGTCTGCTGACCTGTCCAAGGACTGGCAGCTTCCCGACAAGGAGTTTTCTGCACTGCTCAGGGGATCCAGCATCTGTAAGGCAAGGCATGTGGCCCAGGCTTTGTGACCCAGCCAGAGCCAGCAAATCATCCTTTTTGTCAAAACACAAAAGTGCCCTCTGTCTCCCCACACTGTGGGAAAGATGGCTGGGAAGGTGCTGGGCTCCCCATCAGTATGAAGGGAAAGTTTCCGGGAGGGAGAAAACACTTGGCTGGCATCCCAGAGATGCGGCTTCTCCATGGCATGTTCTTGCCTTGTCTGCACTGGAACCTGGTGTTGAGACGGCCCTCCCCTGCCGGACCTCCCAGTGAACTCGGGTGGGACCTTTGTGCCCCAGTTACACTCCATGAGTGGTAATTTACAGACAAGCATTGTCCCGTTTCACGGATGAACACTACAGGCCTGGAAAGGTTAGGAGACTTGCCTGCAATCAGAACAGAAACGTGCCAGGTCCCAGTTCCAGTGCAGAAGTGATAGGTCTCCACATGAATGAAACTATTTCTCTGGCCCCGGTCAAGTGCAGTAGAAAAAAAAAAGCCCTTGGCACAGCCTTTTCTCCAGGGTGGGGCAGGGCCTGCCCTTGTAAGGGTAGAGACAGGGTGGGTTCTGTGCCGTTCAAGGGTAGGGGTGGGGTGGGGCTGCCCACAGAAGGGTAGGGGCCAGGCAGGATCTTCCATTTCAGAGTATTCATTATCTGAGCTCCCGGGTTGAACATTACATATGGAAGCAAAATCCACTAGTAGCCTTCATAAAATCAGTTTTCAACTCCAATATCTCTTTCCATTTAATACCAGAGTCCGTCACCACCCGTAACTCCAAATGCTTTAGGTCACACTGTCACATAGGATTTTTAAAAATCTGCCAACAAGGCAAACTAACTGCAAAGCAGAATGCCGCCGTCCCTAAGGATATAGGATATGCGAAGTGGGCGAAACAAACCCGGGAAGAACTGCTTGCAATCCGCCAGGTGCACGTTTGGCCAGTGAGGCCAGTGAGCGCAGAAAGAGACGTCGGTGCTGGAGGAGGAAGGGCAGCACGGGCTCCAGAGAGGCCTGGGGAGCCGCCAGCCTGGGTGCGCACTCAGAAGCAGCCCGGCAGGTGACAGCGCCGTAGCGTCCAGAGGAAGGGAAGGCATTCCGCTGTGCCAGTGCAATTTTTGGTGCAAAAACAAAGCCTCAAAATTAGTATGACTCATGCTTTGCTCTTTTTCAAAATCAGCTGGTGGAAGCAACCGCTACCTAAGTCTGATGAAAGAAAAAACTACACAAACTGATCATAGCTTCACTTTTCACGAAAGCCTTTCACTACAGGGGCTGAGGGTCTGCCCTATCCAGCAGGCCGGTCCTGGATGGCCCACTAGCAGGAGCAGCTCCCTTCAGCTGAGGAGGCAGGTGCTGGGGAAGCCCGGGCGGTCCCAGCCACAGCCATCCTCAGCCTCTTTCTCAAGGCCTGTCCTCTCTGGGAGTCCATGGATGTTCTGCCATCAACCACACGAGCTTGGAAGAGAGCTCCAGACTGAAAGGCATGCACCTGGCTGACGCCTTGACTGTAGCTTGTGTGACCCCCAGCAAGGGGCCTGGTGGGTCATGCCTGGACCCTGACCCAGGGAAACTGTAGAACAGTGAATGCATGTCCTTTTCAGCCTCCAAGTGTGTGGTAGTTTGTTACATAGCAACAGATAATTAACACAACTGTGTACCACCATCAAAGGTCATCCTAACCAATCATACAATGTAATTCGGAAACAGCAAAACTAAGATCGAGCCGATGGAAAACACAACCTGCCCGTTCAGGACTGGTCACGTTAAAACTCTGCTGAAACAGGCGGGGTGCTGTGGCGTGTGCCTGTAGTCCCAGCTCCTCAGGGGAACAGAGGACCACGAAGAGGGAAGTTTGTCAAGTGCGTACCAACACCAAGCAGGCCAGGGAGTCTGATCCTGTCTTTGGCGGGAACTGCTATTTGGCCCCTAAGAGGAATTACCCGTGTCTGGGCAGGCCTGGTTTACCAAAGCTCTGCTGGGTGGCGCTCAAACCCTCAGGTCTGCATGGCGCCACCATGCAGAAGGCCCCACCGTGGCCATGCCGCCCCCGTACTCACGCACTGCTCGCTGGTCTCGGGGATGAACTCCCCCTCGCTGTGGATGCTGGTGTAGGACCCCTGCCGGGCGATGTGCTGCTGCCGCTCGGGGACGTAGCCGGGAGGCGGCGAGCTTCGGCCAGCGTTCTGGGAGCCTGCAGCACAGAAGCGAGGCTTTCAACTGGAGTCAGGACGGGCAGGCAGGCCCGGTGGTCCGAGGCGACACAGAAGGGTCACGGCCCTGGAGTTCAGCATGCTGCAGCTGCCTAAAGCGAGCCCTTTCCTCATGGGAAACACTCTGGGGACAGGGCAGGCCTGCGGCACCTCTGGCCAGAAGAAGCCCCAGGAAGCCCACCCAAGCTGGTGGTCAGAGCAACCTTTTTGTCTGTCTCACTCTGTCATCCAGGCTGGAGTGCAGTGAGTGGCATGCTCATGGCCACCGCAGCCTCAACCTGCTGGGCTCAGGTGATCCTTCCACCTAAGCCTTTCAAGTTGCCTGGCTGATTTCTTATTTATTGTAGACACGAGGTCTCGCCAGGTTGCCCAGGCTGGTCTTGAACCCCTGGGCTCAGGCAATCCTCTCACCTCTGCCTCCCAAAATGCTGAGATGACAGATGTGAGTCACAGCACCTGGCTTCAGAGCAGCTTTTAAAAAAACTTGTTCCCAGCTGGGCATGGTGGCTCACGCCTGTCATCCCAGCACTATATATGGGAGGTGAAGGCAAGAGGACTGCCTAAGCTCAGGGCTTTGAGACCAGCCTGAGCAATATGGCGAGACATCATCTCTACAATAAATCAAAAAATTTGCTGGGCATGGTGGCACACACCTGTGGTTCCAGCTACTTGGAAAGCTGAGGAAGGAGGATCACCTGAGCCCAGCAGGTTCAGGTCGAGGCTACAGTGGCCATGAGCGTGCCGCTGCACTCCAGCCTGGGTGACAGTCAGACTACGAGTCAAGAGGACACCTCCCTCCTTCCCTAGCCGCTCACACCCCTCCTGGCTGCTGCAAGCAGTGAGTTATCTTGCATGAGCGCCGCACTTGACTTTTTGTTGGATGTCGCCCCATCTGAGGCTCACCACCCTGCAACAGGTCTGGCAGGGATTTTTTGAGGCCTCCCAGGTGGCAGGCATACTGCAAGGCATTTTCACATTTGCTATTCGCTTACTCCCCTCAACAGTGCTGAGAGGTGAGCATTTGCTTTACTTAACAGAGGAAGAAACTGAGACTCGAGGAACTTACATTTCTCAAAACCGAAACAGTTTTAGGAAGCAGGAATTATCCCTGTTTGACAGCAAGAGAACATACAGCCAGTTTACAGGTATTTTCACCACATTAGCCTGTCACCGAGCGACAGAAGTATGCAGCGGTGTTTCACAAAAAACTGAGGAACATTTTTCTATCACAAGGGATTCTTGGGAAATCGGGTCTCCCTATCCCTGGCCCAAGAGCTTTTTCTGATTGATTCTGTTGCTTTCAATGATCAAAGAATGAGACAAAAACGAAGCCAAAATTTTGCGTCTTTTCTTTCCTAAGTCCACCAGACAATCCAGAGGAGCCCACCTTCATAAGATTTTAAAAAGCTGTAACAATACCCACACACAAGTATTGCTAGTCAGTTCAAAACTTAAATACAGGGCTCTTATCCTGAGCCCTCTCCTGTTCTGGAGGGAATGAATTTTTCCCATCATATCGGAAGCCAGAGACCCAAGAGGCCTTAATCCACTCTCTAATCCAACAGCCCCCGCCTCACTCTAGGATCCAGCGGTTCCCGGACACGGGGAACAGCAGAAGTACCATCCCTCGACAGAGCTGGCTACTGTCCTCATGTTCTCACTGGCTAGTTTCTCCAGCCTGGCCCAGGGCCACACTGCGAGGTCTTCTGAAGTAGAGCTGCAGGCAAGATGTTCTGTGGGAATAGCTGAGGAAGTGAGAGCAAGTCTGGTGACTGGAGATCTGAGAAGCACCTGGCTCCTTCTACCCTGGCAGTTGTTTTGGTTTTGTAGAGATGGGGTCCCCGGGGCATGCCACTGTGCCCAGCTTCTCTCCTTTTTTGTTAGAACTCTAGTCTACAGCAGCTCGGATGATCTGGGAAACACACAATTTTGTCAAAGCACCAGGGGCACCAGCCGTGCTAGAAGTCGAGGATCATACCGCAGACAGTGCGCTGGCCACAGAGGCTGTGGAAGGGCCCAGACCAGGCTCTGAATAACCCGAGGAGGGTGGCCTGACGAGCTGCTGGGACCCTACAAGCATCCAGAGCCAGGGAGACTCCTCCCATGGTTCCAAGGGCCCTCAGAGGAAGACGACGACAATGGAAACAGAGAATGGCGGGAGGGTGGCTCTTTGCAAGACAGTTTCTAAGGAGTTTATCATTTTATTTTTTGAGTTGGAGTCTCACTCTGTTGCCCAGGCTGGAGTGCAGTGGCACACTCACAGCCACTGCAGGCTTGACCTGCTGGGCTCAGGCAATCCTTCGGCCTCAGCCTTCCAAGCGGCTGGAACTACAGGCACGCGTCCCCATGCCCAGCTCATTTTTTTACTTATTGTAGAGATGTCTCTCCAAGTTGCCCAGGCTGGCTCGAACCCAGGGGCTCAGGCAGTTTTCTTGCTTTGGCCTCCCAAAGTGTTGGGATTATAGGTGTGAGCTATAGGTGGGATTATAGGTGGGATTATAGCCTTGACCTGATGGGCTCCGGCGAGCCTCCTGCCTCAGCCTTCCAAGTAGCCAGAACTACAGGTGCACGCTATCACGCCTGGCTGATTTTTTGATTTATTGTAGAGATGAGGTCTCGCCAAGTTGCCCAGGTTGTTCTCAAACCCATGGGCTCAGGCAATCCCCTCATCTCGGCCTCCCAAAGTGCTGGGATTACAGGCTTGAGCCACCGCACCTGGCCAGAGTTTATCATTTTAAATATCCTTCAAAAAACAGACTTCATCCTTCCTCACGAAGTCAGTCGCTCAGGACACATGGCTCACTGGGTTATGTGGAATACGCCTTAGTGAATTCGCCGCCAAGCTCACTTCCAGCCTCTTCCTGGAGGCCTCGACCCAGCCCACCTCCGCAGCTGCGACTCAGGCAGCAGGGCTCACACAGGGCCTCAGTAATCTGCCTTCCCTCCTTGACTCCACCGCAGAGGCCAGAAGCAAAACTGCTCTGAAAGCAGCCATAGAATTCGGCTGCATCTCCTGTCTCAGCATCTCACTCACAGGATGGTGGCTCTCAGTGAACTCAAACAGCCCATGGAAGAGTCTGCCCATGAGTTCTAAGCCCTAGCAAAAGCAGCCCCGAGTGGAAGTCTAGGGATGCTGTGCTGTGAACTAAGAGCAACGAGATCAGAAAAGGCAATTTTTTTCTTTTCTTTTTCTAGAAAACACCTTACCTCTTGATGAACCCTTACAGCTCCCCTGCAGTGGAGGTGCACCATCATCCCCCACACTGTGCAGAGGGGGAAACGGAGGTCCAAGGCCATAAAGTGACCCAGTGGCAGCACTGAGGCTAGAAAACGGGCTTTGTGACTCACAGCACGGTTCAGCCAAGGCAGTCTGGCCCCGCAGTTGACTCCCAGGCTGCTCCATATGGTGGTGCTAGGCAGAACTTCTCCCTGAACTGCCGGGGCACATGCTCCCAGTGAGCGGTCCACGTGGAAGATGGAGTCCCATCCTTGAGGAAGTATGACTGTCTTCTTTCCAGGTGCAGGAGGGAGGCGAGGGCAGGGACCCTTGACAGCACAGGGGAAACAGTGTCGTGTTTCACGTGGTTCAAACTCTTGTCCATGGTCTTGTCCATGGTCACTGGTTGTCTTGTCCATGGTCACTGGTGAGTCGGAGGCCTGGGATACAAAATGCCTTGTGGCCAACTAAGGGCTTGGGCAAAGACAAAGTGAAGGTGAGGGGAAATCTGGGCCGAGATAATAAAGAGACCCCTGACTCCACATTCCAGGAGCCCAGATGTCAAAGACCACTCACTCCTCTTGCCACTGTGATGCAAAGTTCCAGGGCAGTGGTTTCTTCAGCCCTGCTGACACAGAGCACCATTTAACCCTTTGCTTACAGACAACAGCCTGGTGCCTGCTCCTCACTTTTGGCTTTGAACAACAGTTAGGAAGCCCGCAGGTTCTATGGCAACCCAGTCCACATGTCAGCGACCCTAAGGAGGTGAGAGAGGCATACGGAGAAATGCCAAGCTCTGAAATAAGATGGACGTGGGTTCAAACCAGGCTGACTGACTGAAGCTCTTACCTCAGCCTCCTCACTGAAGACATGAGCAACCCCATTTCTCTGGAGGCCTCCATGGGGCGGCACCTGTAAGCCTCCACACAACCCTGCCCCTGCGGGAACTTGGGCAAGTCCTATTTGCCCCTGCACTTTACAGAGTGCACACGATGGGATAGGTTCAAGACCTGCCTGCCCTTCGAGTGTGCCTACCAGTCTTCACAAGCCCATTAGCTGAAAGCCGTGCTGCTAAGACTCCCTTCGATTCAGCCCGGCAGAGGTGCTGTGAGGTGTGAGGCTGAGCGGCCTCCTGCCACTGCTGGGCATAGTCCCGGAGCCTTGGGCTTCTCTGCCACAGCGTCAGCAGAGGCTCACGTTTGGGGCTCTGCCAGTGTTGAGACACAGGTGCGGGCCAGAGCTGAGGGGCACTGGGCTTGTGGCCTGATGGCTCCCTGATCACAGAAGAGGGAGGAGCTCCGCGGATGCCGGAACCTTGAGCCTGCCTCCTTCCCCAGGAGACTCCAGGAGCCTGAGCAGACACGAAGCCCCTTCCTCTTGAAAGCAGCTCAAGCAGGCGCTCTTCTGTGCAACTGAACCCCGACCAACCGCTCGGGGGTGGAATTACACATTTTACCGGGAACAAACAAAAAGTGTCTCTTCTGAGGGACTGATGAGAGAGAAAGATGAACTCTTACCGATGAAATCTCAGGAGCCGGTCCAGACTATGCCAGACAGGATGAAACGCCCTCCATCTGATACACGAGTGTCCAAGTGAGACCTTCGAGGGCGAGGCAGCCCCAGTGCCCGCACCCACCCCTCAGTTGTCAGTTCCATTGAACTCTCCCCTGGCTCAGCAGCTAGGATGGGACTCTGGCTCACAGGAGGCCAGGCCACAGACCCAGGAGGGCCCAGGGGAAACAGCAAAGGTTTGTGGAGCTTTTA